ATATAAAACTTAGTGTTTTATGAGGTAGAAGGAGAGAAGGGGGAAGGAAGGGAGTCCAGGATTCTCAAAGAAATACTCTATAGTTTGCCACTGATTCTGGTCTAATTGTATATACTGGGATGCCAAAAAAAAGTATACACATTTTAAGTATGATGCCCGCTCAAAAGATGGCATTAATCAAGTGAATGCTAGCATCACCATACGACAAGCAGGACAGTCAAGAAAATGGCAGAAGCACGGTTGAACCTTATACGACACGTTGCTACTGTAATTCAACTTTGAAAAGTAATACATAGATGACATCTCTTAAAATGGATGTATATATTGAGGCTTTCAGATTTTTGAACATATAGAATATCTTTGAATTATTTCTTTTAATAAGTATACATATACATGGCACCGCTGTATTAAAAAAAAATAAAGCTACAAATGTGTAAATAACTACCAATATGTGTAAGGTTAATAATGTATCATATCTTTGGTATGTCGTAAAAAACAGTATTAAATGTTCTCATCTTGGCTGGGCTCGGTGACTCAGTTTGTAATCCCAGCACTTGGGAGGATAAGGCAAGTGGATTGCCTGAGCCCACAGGTTTGAGACCCACCCGGGCAACTTGGCAAGACCTCGTCTCTACAATACATAAAAAATTAGCCGGGCATGGTAGTGCACACCTGTAGTTCCAGCTACTTGGAAGGCTGAGGCAGAAGGATCTGTGGAGCCCAGCATGTCGATGCTGAGGTGGCCGGGAGCGGCCACTTCACTCCAGCCTGGGGAATGGAGTAGACTCCAAATAAAAAAAAAAAAAATTCACATCTTTATGGAGTCCTCCTCAATTTTCACAAATAAGAGTCAATGAGTGAAGTTCCTCCATGTCTGAAGAGTGGAACTCCAAAGAGCTATGCTTCATGTCAGGGAGCTTAAACTCCACATTTTTGGCTTAACTCAAATGTTCATACTTGATGAGAAACAGGTTAAAGACAAAACTTGTGAAAAGTTTCATGAACGAACCTGTTCAGAAAACTCCTCTGAGCTGGATGACCACAAGGTTTGGATAAGCTCAATTTTTCTGTTTCTTTCTGAAGTGACTCAAAGAACATATTTTTTGCTCAGGGAACTGTCCCCCCCGTGCCTTGTTTTGAAGGTAAACGGTTGGTCTGCTTTTACCTCCATGGGACAGACAGAATATTCACCTCCAACAAATGAATTAAAGTTAATATAGTGAGTCTGAGAGCATTCTGAGCCCTGGTTTTGTTGAGGGACCCATTTTCCAGCTATCCTCCTTTACAGCTTAGGCTTCTTCGGGAGATGGAGATAGCCCCAGTAACTTTTCTCAGAGATCTGGGTGGATCATTGAAGTAGAGCTGGAGAAGAAGTTTTTCTTTCTGTATTTTTTTTTAAACTTAGAGAAAGAGGTCATCTAGGTGTGTCAGTTAATAGTAACAGTGGAAGTGGCAGCTGGGGAGAAGATGGGGCTCCCAATCGTACTGGTCTCTAGGTATGATTACTCTGTAGGTTACTAAGCTAGATATTTTTGGGGTGGTAAGACACAATTTAAAGAAATATGGAATTTTTAGATTATACTTAGCACTGTGGCATCATATGTGTTCAGGAGAAACTTTAGATTTGTCCCTTAAAATCAGAGAGTAGGTTAGTCTCTCTGCTGAACTTTGTCCTAATTTGGGTTAAGGATCATGGCCCCCTTCCATTCCATAAAATTAAAAGTGAAAATAAAAGTAAGCTATAAACTAAATATAAAGAAACCGCAAAGTTCTGCTTTATTGCATGACAGCAGTCTTGCTTCTTTTTAAACACCTGTCAGTTGCCAATTAAAAAATAATACCACAGCTGGGCTCAGTGGCTCAGCCTGTCATCCCAGCACTTTGGGAGGCCAAGGCTAGTGGATTGCCTAAGCCCAAGGGTTTGAGACTGGGCAACTTGGGGAGACCTCGTCTCTACAGTAAATCAAAAAATTAGCCAGGTGTGGTAGTGCGTGCCTGTAGTTCCAGCTCCTTGAAGGGCTGAGGCTGAAGAATTGCTGGAGCCCAGCAGGTTGATGCTGGAGTGGCCGTGAGTGTGTCATGGCACTCCAGCCTGGGCGACAGAGTGAGACTCCAACTCAAAACAAAACAAAACAAGAGCATCACAGCAACTCTTTTATTGTTCTTGCTTTGCTCTTGTCTTTAGCACGATGGTGTTGCTGACTTCTTGAAGTCCCTTTGCACAGACATTTACTGAGTATGTGGTATGTGCCGGGCACGGCAGGGTCTAGGGATATGGCAGGTGAATAAGACCCATTTCCTGCTCTTCGAGCTTACAGTCTAGATGGATTTGAAGGTCTTAACTTCTGAATACTCGGATCTCTTAGAAGATCCCCACGTGAGAGGGAAGGGAAGGCACTTTTTACTTTATTTATTTATTTATTTATTTATTGAGTTGGAGTCTCACTCTGTCGCCCAGACTGGAGTGCAGTGGCCGCTCCCGGCCAGCGCAGCCTCGACCTGCTGGGCTCCGGCGATCCTTCCGCCTCAGCCTTCTGAGTAGCCGGAATTACAGGCATGCGCTACCACGCCCGGCTGATTTTTTGATTTATTGTAGAGATGAGGTCTCACTGCCCAGGCGGGTCTCGAACCCGCGGGCTCAGGCAATCCACTCACCTCAGCCTCCGAAGGCGCAGGATTACAGGCTGAGCCATCGAGCCCGACTGGAAAGCACTTTTGATCGATTTAGTTGTCAGGAGGGTAGAGAAGGTGATGATGATGTTGGTGATGGTGGCTTCTGTGTGTGGAGCCCCTGATACCAACCAGATCCTACGCTAGGTGCCATAAAACCTTATCTTTATTATCCATGGCGTACTCCCAAGGAAAATGAACTTGGAAATAACTTTCCCAGGATTACTTAGCTAGCAGATAACAGAGTGAGAGTTTTTTTGGACTTTATTTTTGCAAGGTAAGGTTTGAATTAGCATTAAATTAATATGTTTTCTGTGGAAAAGAGAAAATATTTTGTATGAGCTAAATCTGTACATAAAACAAAAGGTGTAATTTAGTTAATTTACTTAAACTTATTATATATACACTATTATATTAATAATAAAGACAATTTTTTTTTGAGTTGGAGTCTCACTCTGTTGCCCAGGTTGGAGTGTTGTGGCATGCTCATGACCACCGCAGCCTTGACCTGCTGGGCTCAGGCGATCCTTCCGCTTCAGCCTTCTAAGTAGCTGGAACTATAGTCAAGCACCACCATGCCTAGCTAATTTTCTGATTTACTGTAGAGATGAGATCTCACCAGATTGCCAGGCTGGGCTCAGGCAATCCTCTCACTTCAACTTCCCAAAGTGCTAGGATTATAGGCATGAGCCACCTCGCCCGGCCAATCAACACAATTTTAAGACTAAAGTTCACACACTCCTTAGTTTCATTTGTTCAGGTTTCCTTCCAATTTTTGTCCATAAGCATAATAAATTTTATATTTTAACACAGCACACACATTTCCGTGTTTCTGCATAGTGTAAATAACTACAACTTAAGTAACATTCCATTGAGTTGAATACCATTCGCATTAAACATTTAGGTTTCAAATGTTAAAAAAATTATACATATTGAACTATTCAGATTTTTATAACATAGGGTATCTTTGAATGATTTCCTTTAATGTTACTTAACTCGTAGAATCTTCTTTAACATTGCTTTTTGTGAAATTAATCTCACCTCTATGACTATCTAACAATGTTGTCTGGTTCTTTATTTTGGTATTCTTATATTTAGAAGCTTTCATTAAAATGTTTAGTATTTTAGCTGTATCTTATTTTTTTTTTTTTACTTAAAATGGTCCTACCTTTGGGAATTCAAGAGCAGAGCTGTACACAGAAATATACTAGGTTTTGTCTAAGGCATATAATAAGGTAATAACAGAATCTAGATTCTCTAGTTTTCAGGCAACTGCTTTGGCTAGTAAAATACAGAACCCAAGTCTGTGTGTGTGTGCACCTGCTTGTATGTGGGTTTATGTGCATGTGAGTGGAATATGGCTTGATAATTCTTTGTCACCATAGTTCCAAACATACAAATATACAAATATGAGCTGGGATGCTGGCATCTCCTGTGAATGTGAGCCTGAAATGTCCATGTAAATATTATGACAAGACATTTCCTTGAGCCTTCACCTAACCTTTACCAGAGATTAGCCAAGCAAAGAGGTGATGACTTGGTAGATAACAAGCTAGAAGAGCTCATCTTTCTTGCTGGGAATTCTCTGCAACAGGAGGTCAACAGGACTTCTCACATTAGGGCTTCCCCCTCTAGTCCGCTATGCAATGTCTCAATAACTCTTGGAGAGCGAGGGAGAGAATAAGATAGAGAGGGAAGGAGAGAGATTTTATTTTTAAATAATAACTACCATTTATTGACTACCTATTATATGCCAGGACTCTTGTCCATAAGCTCTCATTTATCACCTATATATACTGTGTGAGATAAGTGCTATTCATGCTACAAAGGAGGAAACTAAGGCTTGGAGAGTTTGTGACTTGTCCAAAGTAACATTAAATTTTGCAGCCAGAAATGAACCTAGGTTTATCTATTTTCAAATCCACATACTTTATTTCATATTAAAGTGTTGGGAGAAAAAAAATCCAGCCCATTCATGTGAAATCAAGAGCCAGGCACCCAACACATCATAAGTACCAACCTATTCCGTTGCCAGTCTCTAAGAATTGAGTGTCTAGCTCATATGTCTATTTTAACTGTAAAGCTTTATGATATGACTCAGTCTTCTTCATACATCAGTCACTGATAACTAAGTATTCAAAACTTAGGAAAGATGGAAAGACCTGCTATTCCTGGTTTGGGGCAGATGGATGGTCTTGTCAGAGGAGGAAGTGGTATATGTCATGCCCTTGGTGTTTAATCCCTGTAGATTTCTGGCTTTCCCAGTGAGTGCTGCCTTAGTGTCAGATGTTACTTTCCTCACTTCTTGTTTTTTGTTTTTTTCTCCTCAGATCTAGATACTGATGACGATTTAAATAGCGAAGATTATGAATATGAAGATGAAGCCAAACTTGTTATATTCCCAGACCACTATGAAATAGCACTACCAAATATTGAGGAGTTACCAGCCCTGGTCAGTGAGTGTGCACGGCTGCTAGCTAGATGCGCGTGACTCTCTGTGTCAGGTGTGTGTGCGTGTGCGGTGTGCGTGTGGGGGGCGGGTAGGGAAGGTGGGTTGAGTGAGAGAAGAGGATAAGAATGAGCTCGAACATGCACATTCCTCTTCTCTTGTGTGACAAGGGTCTTGCAGGGTTGTATTTTGGTCTCATGGGGCCACGCATACTTCATGCTGCCTCTTACTTCCAGTGTGGGTTTGGTTTCGTTTCTCATTAGGCGGATCTCCTCCAGGTTGGGCTGGCTTCTTGTCTCCTGAATAACAATTGGCTGCTTAAATTTTCAAACTGTGTATAACCAGAGATGCAGAACCTGTTGGAGAGGGACTGTCTTCTGAGCTGAGGGATGACAGTAATTTTTCCATTTTTGTTTTAGATTCTGGGGGGACACGTATATATTTGTTACATGGACATATTGTGTAGTGGTGGGGATTGGGTCTAAGGTGTCCCATTTCCCAGATAGTGAACATCATACCCAGTAGGTAATTTCTGAGTTCTAACCCTCCTGTCTCCCTCTTATTGATGTCCCCAGTGGGATGACAGTATTTTTATCATGTCTATTGACCTTGCATGTAAGATGTTGCCTGAAAAAAATAAGTGTTCCACTGCTAAAACAACAGCAGCACAGTTATAAAAAAAACCAAACTTTTACAAATCACAGGTCTGTGGAAGCTCTGGGATTAAATGAGCCTTTTCGGTTTTGCTACCTATGTGGACTAAGACTACTTCCTAAGTTTTAGTTATTTTCAGTAGTGAGCTTCACCCCATCCCCTTCCCTTCTATTTTCTTTCTTTTAAATCCATTTTTTGTGGAAGGACCTTAGTTTTCTAGAATGACTTGGAGCTGGGGCTGGTGGTGGTGAGATGGGAGAGCCAGGTTTCCTTTGATATTGCATGCTGTCATAGATGCAGGGTTCCTGTGAGGACCCTAGTGTTTTTCCTGCCCTCTCCTCATTTCCTGTATTGTCTCCACCACTCTGTCTTCTTTCCTTTTTTCTTTTCCCTTGTTTTTTCCTCTTTTCCACTCTGTGCATACCTTGACTTCCCAGAGCCTGGCCACAGATGGCAGTGGGGTCAGGGTGGGTGGAGTTTAGACATGCCAGTTTATTTTTTCCCTCTTCAAACTTTGCCAGAGCCAAAGCCGAGTCTTTAGGTCTCAGAATCTTCAGGACGTTGTGTGACTATTTCTACGGCCATCTGCTCACTTGCCCCTGCCAACAGGGTACGTTTGTGTTTGGGGTTTCTATGTCATGAGGGACTAGGTTTCTCCCATCCAACCTCTTTTGCCCCTGATCTACTTGACATCTAAGACCACAGAAATGAGAATTTTGTGTGTTGATTTGTTGTAATTCTTCTAATTATTAAATGTAACACATCCATTTAGTACTAAGTGCACAGTGCTCAGCAAGGCATGTAGAATTAAATTACCTTTCCTTTCTCCAATTCGCTGTGTTGACTCATGTGGCCGTTACCAAGGATAAAATATATTAGTGCACAAAATGGCCTTACCTCATCCCATTACCTGAAATTATATACTAATGCTTATATCTCTGTAATACTGAGATTTCTTACTGTCCTGTTTAATACAACTCTTACTTCTGCTATCAGAGAGGTAAAGAAGCATATAGTACATAAATGTTAAGAATAATTATTTTCCTCTCATTCCCTCATGAGGTTTTCATATGAAAGAAGTTGATAAGAATTCCTTTTATTATTTTTGTATTCCAAGTATAGTTTGAAGTGTGAATACTTTTATTTAAAAGGGAAATGCTATAGAAATTTGAATCTAGCAAGAGATATCATGATTTTTACAAAGTCTTTTAGAATTAGGACATACTTTAAGAATGGAAGAAAAAAGTTACTTGGAAGATGGTGGGGAAATTGAACCCTAGATTTATCTGATAATAACTGATAAAATTTAACTTCCTAAAACATGCTAGTTACTATATATTTTTTCATGCTTTTGCTACACTTTTTATATCTGATGATTATCTTTTTATACTTTTAAATGACAAAAATGAGCTGAAAACACCTCACCAGGTGATTCTTCCTTCATCTTGGGCATCTCAGCACAGAACAGTTTCCGTTTCAGAGAGATATTACTCTGTAGGTTCTACCATAAAGTTAATCCACCTCTGAGAGATGCAGGTGCACAGAGACATAGCACTGTGAGCTCAGCAGGGATTTCAGAGCCTGAAATCCAGTGTCTTCATTTTAGACATCAGGGATTGAAGCGATGGTGTGTCTGTAAATGTTTAACAATAGGTTTCCTGAAGAGAAAAAAGCTTTGTTTTATAGTATCTGCTGATTTCATGGTGCAAATACTCCCGACATGGCTGGTTTCAGGCTGACAGTGTGACATCACTGAATGCATTGTTGGTAGAGAGATTGGCAGTAGCAGAACATTATATAGACTTTCCATTGTTCACCTAACATAGAATAACCTCAAGAGTGAATACATAAGCAGTTGTAAAACAATTAGGAAATGAAGAAATTTTGAATATACATATATATCTTTAAATATACATATTTATAAGATTTATAAATATATGTAAAATATAAATGCCTTTTAAATATTTTATTTAATCGTAAGCTTATAAATTTAACTTTTATAATGGCTTTGTTTAGCAACGATCTTGCAAAATTTCTTAAAATTTAATGATGGATTCATGAGCCAGTTTGAGCTGGTTCCAGTGTAGCACTGAACTTGAGGCCTATGGGGACTGGGGATGGAGACAGGAATCGTACCAAGGTCTTTTCACTTCACTCCAGATAACAAATCCAGGGAACAATAATTCACAGTGTAATTAAAGGATGATGGATCCTGACCTTCAGCTATGAACAATAAAAAGGGTCTTTAAATTATTTAGATGATATTTTGAAAAACTGGGTCAGTGTTTTATAGCGGCTTAGAAGTCTAAGGATTTTTTTCCCCATGTTCATTTTAAATTCATGGTGTACACGTGTGTGTTCATTACATGGATATATTGTGTAGTGGTGGGGATTGGGTCTCAGGTGGCCTATCCCCAGAAAGTGGACATTTTAGCCAATAGGTAATTTCTGAACCCTAACTTCATTCTCTTCTCCCCCTTATTGGTGTCCCCATTGTCTATTATTTCCATCTTTGTGGCCATTTAGCTTCCGCATATAAGTGAGAATATGTGGGGTTTGGTTTTCTTTTTCTTTTTTTTTTTTGAGTTGGAGTTTCACTCTCTTGCCCAGACTGGAGTGCAGCGGCACACTCCCGGCCACCGCAGCCTCGACCTGCTGGACTCTGGTGATCCTTCTGCCTCAGCCTTCCAAGTAGCCAGAACTACAGGCACGTGCTACCACGCCCGGCTAGTTTTTGATTTATTGTAGAGTCGCAGTGTCGCCAGTTGCCTGGGTGTGTCTCGAACCCGCAAGCTCAGGCAATCCACTCACCTCGGCCTCCCAAAGTGCTGGGATTACTGGCTGAGCCACCGAGCCCGATCGGTTTTCTGTTTCTAAGTCAATTTACTTAGGATGACGATCTCCAGCTCCATCCATGTTGCTGCAAAGGACATGATTTCATTGTTTTTTATGGCTGTGTAGTATTCCATGGTGTATGTATTCCACATTTTCTTTATTCAGTTAATCACTGGTGTGCATTTAGGTTGGCTCCATGATTTTGCTATTAGTAGTGCTGCAGTGAACATATGAGTACAGATATTCTTTTTATATATTGATTTCTTTTCCTTTGGATAGATCCCTAGTAGTGGGATTTCTGGGTCGAATGGTAATTAAATTTTTAATTTTTTGAGAAATCTTCATATTGTTTTCCAAAGAGGTTAGCCTAGTTTACAATCCCACCAACAGTAGATGGGCATTCCCTTTTCACCAAAACCATGCCAACAACTGTTGTTCTTTGATTTTCTAATAATAGCCATCTGATTGATGTGAGGTGCTATCTCATTGTGGTTTTAATTTGCATTTCTATGATGATAAGTGATGTTGAGCATGTTTTTATATGTTTGTTGGCTGTTTGTGTGTCTTCTTTTGAGAAGTGTCTATTCATGTTCTTAGCCCACTTTTTGATGAGGCTATTTTTTTCCTTAATGTTGTGTTGTTTGTGTTCCTTGAAGATTCTGGACATTAACCCTTTGTCTGAGGCATACTTTGCAAATATTTTCTCTCATTCAGTAGGTTTTCTGTTCACCCTGTTGATTATTTCTTTTTCTGTACAGAAGCTTCGTAGTTTAATGTAGCCCAATTTTTAAATTTTTGTTTTTGTTGCAATTGTTTCTGGAGTCTTCATCATAAATTCTTTGCCTTGGCCAGTGTCCAGAAGAGTGTTTTCTAGGTTTTCTCTAGGATTTTTATAGTTTCAGGTCTTACATTTAAGTCTTTAATCCATCTTGAGGTAATTATTGTGTATGGTGAGAGATAAGCATCCAGTTTCATTCTTCTGCATATGGCTAGTCAGTTTTCCCATTATCATTTATTGAATAGGGTGTTCTTTCCCCATTATTTATTTTTGTTGACTTTGTCAAAGATCAGTTGGTTATAGGTATGTGGTTTTATTTCTGGGTTCCCTATTCTGTTCCATTGATCTATCTCTCTATTCTTGTATCAGTACCATGCTGTTGTAGTAACTATAGCCTTACAATATAATTTAAAGTCAGGCAGTGTGATGCCTCCTCAATTGTTCATTTTGCTTAGAATTGCTTTGGCTATTAGGGTTCTTTTTTGGCTCATAAGACTGTTTTTTTTCTAGTTTCGTGAAGAACGAAATTGGTTTTTTTTTAAAATCAGGATTGTACCTGTAGATTGCTTTGATTCATGAACATGAGATGTTTTTCCATTTGTGTCATCTACGATTTCACTCATTAGTGTTTTGTAGTTCTTGTAGAGATCTCTCACTTCCTTAGTTAGGTATATTCCTAGGCCGTGTTTTGTTTTTTTTTTTTTTGTTTTTTTTTTTTTGTGTGTTTGTCTAATGTGAATGGGATTGAACTCTTTTTTTTTCTTTTTTTTTGAGTTGAAGTCTCACTCTGTTGCCCAGGCTGGGCTCATGGCCACCCTAGCATTGACCTACTGGACTGCAGAAATCTTTCCGTCTCAACCTTCCAAGTAGCCAGAGCTATAGTTCTGCGCTACCAACCCTGGCTAATGTTTTGATGTTTATTTTAGAGATGAGGTCTCGCTAAGTTGCCCGCTGATCTTGAACCCGTGGGCTCAGGCAATCCTGTCACCTCAGCCTCCCCAAATGCTGGAATGACAGGCTTGAGCCACCGTGCCCAGACGGCTCTTATTATTTTAAGATATGTTCCTTAGATGTCTAGTTTGTTGAGGAATTTTATCATGGAAGATTGTTGGATTTTATTGAATGCCAGTTCTGCATCTATTGAGATGATATTGTTTTAATTTTTGCTTCTCTTTATGCGATAGATCACGTTTATCGATTTGCAGATATTGAACCCTCTAAGGATGCTTTATTGGGTGTTACTAGGAAAGGTATAGGAAGAAAAGAGAGAAGATTATGTCCAAATCTTGTTCAGAATCGGTATGCTTTGCATACTAGAGAACTTAAAGATCTAACGCATTGGAGCATATCCTGAGTAGGACAGAGAAATGATGTAGTTAGCTGGTGAAACAAACATGGAGCTTATAATAGGCTATACTGAAAGGATTAGGATGGTATAGCCAGAAATGCTGAGGTGGCATGTCCCAAACCCATAAAATGTGGAAGGGACTTGTGGTACACTCAAACTTGTTTTCTGTGGGCATCCTTGGAATATGGTAGAGAACGGATTTTTACAGTTGAAAGGAAAAACTAATTATACAACATAAGAGATAAATTGGAAGATCTCTTTTGAAAGGTTTAAATATATTTTTGGAATTTCTGGTCTGTAATGGATTATAAGCTGTTTGAGGGCAGGGACCCTTCTTCCTTATTCCTGACTGCACAGCCCAGTGCCATCCGTCGATAGTGTTCAGTATAAACCTGGGGAGTTTTAAGCTGGGGAAGGATAGGCCCTACTTCTCACAACAGATCACTCTGGCTGCTGTGCCCAGAAGAAGGGCAGGGGTGGAGGACAGGCGATTGTGGATTGTGAGGAGGCTGTTGTGTAGCCACAGGGAACTGTGATGGTGGCTGGGACCAGGAGGGTGGGACTGGAATGCATAGGAGGCAGATTCTGGTTGTATTTTGGTTGCAGGACTTGTAGGACTTGCTTGCGGGGTTTGATTGAGGGAACTTCCTTCGTGATTTCTTACTTGGTTCTAGGGTCACTTGCCAGTGCCACCCAGGGAAAATAGTCAGTTCATTGTACAAGATGTTGGTAATGTAGATTATAATTTTCTTTTTTGGGGAGGGGAGTCGGGGTCTCACTCTGCAACTCAGGCTGGAGTGCCTTGGCAAAGTCATGGCTCACTGTAGTCTCAACCTTCTGGGCTCAGGTGATCCTCTCCACCTCAGCCTCCCGAGTAGCTGGGAGTATAGGCACATGCCACCAAATTTTTTTTTGATTTTTTTTTTTGTAGAGACAAGTTTTCGCTGTTTTGCTTAGACTGGTTTCGAACTCCTGGACTCAAGTGATCTTCCTGCCTCAGCCTTCCAAAATGCTGGGATTACAAATGTGAGCCACTGCGCCCAGCCAAATTTGGTTTTAAATTTTTTTTCATACTTCAGTAACTTTTATTATGTTCACAGTTGAAGGTCCATCAGCATCATCTGATTTTAAAATTTTTCTTACCCAAAAAACCCACACCCCTTAGCCATCACCCTCCAACCCTTCCTCCCACCCAGCCACTGGCACTCATTAAATTACTATCTGTTGCTATAGATTTGCCTATTCTGGACATTTCATATAAATGAAGTCATTCAATACATTACTCTTTGAGACTGACTTTTTAAAAATTTAGCATATATTTTCAAAGTTTATCTATGTTGTAGCATGTATCAGTATTTAATTCCTTTTTATTGCTAAATAATATTATTCCATTGTATGAACATACATTTTATTTTACATTCTATTTATCATTGATAGGCATGTGTTGCTTCCATTTTTTTTTTTTTTTTTTTTTTGAGACGGAGTCTCACTCTGTTGTCCAGGCTGGAGTGCGGTGGCACGCTCACTGCCACCCCAGTGTCAACTCACTGGGCTCAGGCTATCCTTCTTCCTCAGTCTTCCAAGTAGCTGGAACTACAGGCGCGTGCTACCACGTCCGGCTAATTTTTATTTTATTTTGTTTATTGTAGAGACGAGGTCTTGCCAAATTGCCCGGGCTGGTCTTGAACCCGTGGGCACAGGCAATCCACTTGCCTCGGCCTCCCAAAGTACTGGGATTACAGGCTGAGCCACTGAGCCCAGCTTGTACACATTTTATGTGGACACATATTTTCATTCCTCTTAGATATATGTCTAGGGGTAGAATTGCTGGGTCATGTGGTAACTCTGACCATTTGAAGAACTGCCAGATTGTTTTCCAAAGCGGCTGTACCAGTTGACCTTCAGAATATAAGTGTTTAAAAGACATCTAGAAATAGTTTATAACATCAAATAAACAGCAAATTTGGTAAGGCTTATGGCCAGGATCAATTGGCTTGGGAGAAGGTGGAGAGTCTGTTTTCCTCCTCCACTGTGATCAGGTGGTACCATGTAGGACATCACAGATTTGCTCATGATGTGGACTAATCTGGCACAGAGACACCTAGGCATGTCCCCACCCAGGGTCACATTTGCACCAGATTAAGAAATGGAGCCATGCTGCTTACATTCCATTTAAGTGCCTTTGACCACACGCCATTGTGTGATGAGTTGAGGATATTGGATACCTGGGTGTCCATTTGTTAGGAGGAAAACACAACACTTGGGTAAGTCCTAGGCATTCCTGCATCTAATTTCACTCTTGTAAATTGTTGGCCTCATACTTTTCAGCCTGCTTGCTAAGTGGTATGAATTGTCAAATCGGACGCCTAAGTTTGAGCTTACAAACCTAATTTAGTTCCTTACTATCCCTGCCATTGTCAATACAACAAACTGTAGGCCGAGCACAAAACCCAGCTAGATCCAGAGGAAAGTACAGGAAATCAGGATCTCACTCTTGTGGTACCTATGCTGTTTACATTTTCTTATGTTAAGCTGTATTTACGAATAAGCTTTTAATTCACTTTCTAGAAGTTACTATCCACTCAAACTGTGTTCATACATTGTATCTGGGTTTGTCTTATAGGTCACAATTGCTTGTGATGCAGTTCTCAGCTCAAAATCTCCATACAGAAAGCAAGACCCAGACACATGGGAAAATGAGTTGCCGGTATCTAAATATGCCAATAACCTCACCCAGTTGGACAATGGAGTCAGGATTCCTCCCAGGTGAGAGTCCAATAGCAAAATGGAGCCTTACCTCCTCAAACTGGCCAAAGGAATAGTTGATATTCGACTTCTTCTCTGAATTAGCTGTTACACATTTTCTTACCCGATGCCTTTTATGAAAAATAAGAAAACTTAGCTCTAAAATTGTCTGTGCTGTTGTAGTAGACGCTGAACATGTCCAGATCGTTACCCCTAGAGCTGTCAGTTGTGAGTGCTTGTAACTCTTTGCTTGAGGTCTTTCTCTGCTGCTGAAGCCAGCTAGGCTGGTGCATGGGACCATCAGAAATGCCACAGTTAAAGCTCCCTCTTCTCAAGCCTGTAATCCCAGCACTTTGGGAGGCTGAGGTGAAAGGATTGCCTGAGCCTGCCGCTTCGAGACCAGCCTGGGCAACATGGCGAGACCTTGTCTCTACAATAAATAAAAAAATTAGCCGGTGTGGTAGTGTGCTTCTGTAATTCCGGCTACTCAGAAGGCTGCGGCATAAGGACCACCTGAGCCCAGCAGGTCAATGCTGGGGTGGCTGTCATTGTGCCACTGCACTCTAGCTTAGGCGACAGAGAGATACTCCTAACTCAAGGAAAAAAAAGCTCCCTCTTCTCCTTGAACAGCCCTCAACCAGTGACTATGGAGTGGGTGGATGAATACGGCAGCTCCCTGCTCCTCCAGGTGGCCTGAACCCCAGTGGACCCTAGTGGTCATTCACTCATTGACACGCCCTGTACCGGCTTTCTGTCCATTCTTTTCTCTCTTTCCTGCTCCCCTGGGACCACCTCCAAAACAGGCAAATTATATTTATATTTAGAGTCTGTTCTAGGGTTATCCAACTTACAACCGTTTTTGGTTGTCACTCTTTGTTGATATGCTCTTTGGGGTACCTTATTACACCTCTTATTAGGTGCTGGTGTGTTTACAGAGGCTGGAGCAGCTGGATTAGGAATGGGTCTGATTTGATTGAACCTGGACTATTGTACTGCATTCACATTCTGTGTGGTCTTAGGAAAGGAGTGTTCTTCTGGGCTTCGGTTTCCTCCTTTGTAAAAATGGGGATTATTATAATGATGCTGAAAGGGAGTTATTAGATGAGGCCGGGAGTGATGGCTCACGCCTGTAATCTCAGCACTTTGGAAGGCCAAGACAGGCAGATTGCTTGAGCCCAGGAGTTCAAGACCAGCCTGGGTAACATAGCAAAACCTCACCTCTACAAAAAAATTAACAGATGTGGTGGCGCACACCTGAAGTCCCAGCTACTTGGGATTCTGAGGTGGAAGGATTGCCTGAGCCCAGGAGGTTGAGACTGTCATGAGCTGTGATTGTCATGATCATGTCATGGCATTCTAGCTTGGGCCACATAGTGAGACCCCACCTCAAAAAAAAAAAAAATAATTAAATGATGAGACTTCTATAAGGTACCTGACACATAGCTGATATTTAGCATTTGGTTAAGTTGGCTTCCTTTCTAATTAATTTAGATTTGCAATGTAGCAGGGTTTTTCTTAAACTAGTTTTACTATGTGTGATTAGTACTTTAGAACTTTAGGTGTTTATCCACACGAGATCCTTAATACCGGGGATGCCAAAAAATTGTGTACACATTTTAAGCAAGACATTTTCCCAAAAGATGGCGTTAATCAAATGAATGCGAGCGTCACCATGTGACAGGCAGGACAGTCCAAGAAAATGACGGAAACATGGTTGAGCAAACGTCGTACTACACGTCACTACCATTATTCAATCTCCATCTTGGAGATACCGGGAGGAGCGAGTCCACATATGGAAGGCAAGCAGGATGCTGAGTGACCCTGCTACTCTGGGAATTCAACAGTAACCCTTTGAGGGGAGATATGGGGAAGCTCCAGTCTCTGCGTCCACAGAGCGTTTGTTACCTGCTTGAGATGCTCTGTTTTCTTAGATGCCAGTTTTTAAAAATTTTACCCCAGCTGTTCTGACTGTTCTTCAATGGCTTTCCAGTGGTTGGAAGTGTGCCAGATGTGACCTACGTGAAAATCTCTGGTTGAATCTGACGGATGGCTCTGTCCTGTGTGGAAAGTGGTTCTTTGACAGCTCCGGGGGCAATGGGCATGCTCTGGAACATTACAGAGACATGGGCTACCCACTTGCTGTGAAACTGGGAACCATCACTCCTGACGGGGCAGGTGAGTGAGTGTGTCTTTACTGAATTTGGGGATTTGCGGTGGCTTCCTTTAGGATTTAACCAATCTCTTAGTCCCTATGGTTGGAGGGTGTAGATTCCCAAGTTTGAATCCTGGTTCTGCCTCTTATTAGCCATGAGGTCTTGGACAAGTTTCCTAATCCTTCCTAAAGCTTCAGATTCCTCATCTTGGGGATAACGATGGGTAAGTACCTCTCTCCTATGTTTGTAAATGTGCATAAAGCATTTAGCCCAGTGCACACAGTAAGTCCTTAGTAAACATTAGCTGCCATTGTGATTATCCTTCTGTGTATCTCTTGGCTAGGAGGACAGACGTAGGAAGCAGAATTTGTGAAGTGAGTGTGCATAATCAGACCCATGTTAGAACAGCAGGAGGAAGCTCTGGAATCTATTGTGGGGATTAGTATCGGTTTAGGAACAAATGGATCAATTACAGAGAAGATGAGTTTTAAAGGATGCTGTGTGTTGCAAAAGTCCCTGAAATCACCCGACAGTGATGGGATTCACGACAGTGATGGAGTCCACGTTCTTGGGAGCATTACAAGTGTTTCCTCTTCATGCTGTCAGTTTCAGAGTCAGTTGTTTCTTTTTGTTCTCCTGCACTATGCTCTAAAATGTAAGCTTTTGGCCATGAGGTACAGTTAATAAATAGCTTTTTGTGAGGGAATAGGGCAATAATATCAGGGCCAGTAATGAGGGACTTAAACATTGAGCAGTGGCTATAAGGACCCATCATCTCATCATCACTGGAAACACCCAGCCCAGTCTTCTCCATCTTTTTTTTAGTCTCTGTCTTCTTTGCTTTAAGATAAGATGTTGTTTTTAAGAGAAATATAAAGACATCTGTCTTCTCTTTTTTTCATTTTTCTGTTATCTTTTTATAAGTGAATTAGCCTGCCTCAGAGTTAATTGGCCAAGGTTTTCACTAAATAAAGGGACCCTTCTCACCAATCGATGCTTTTCCATTGATCTGGTTTAGTTTCTCATTCATTTTATAATTTGGGACTGGCAGTTAGGTCATGTCAGGATTCTTTTATTTCATATTTTGGAGAATTTGTAGAATGTTTTATGGAATTATTTTAACTCATTGAGAAAAGTAGCTCAAGGAGTCCCAGGTGCTGGCATCAAACTTTTTTTTTTTTTTTTTGAGTTGGAGTCTCACTCTGTCACCCAGACTGGAGTGCACTGGCCGCTCCCAGCCACCGCAGCCTCGACCTGCTGGGCTCCGGCGATCCTTCTGCCTCAGCCTTCCAAGTAGCCGGAATTACAGGCGTGTGCTACCACACCCAGCTGGTTTTTTGATTTATTGTAGAGATGAGGTCTTGCTGCCCAGGCGGGTCTTCGGACCCATGGGCTCAGGCAATCCACTCACCTCAGCTTCCCAAAGGCGCAGGATTACAGGCTGAGTCACTGAGCCCGGTTGGCATCAAGCATTTACCCCCAAAGTTGGTAAACCTGCACACAAGCCGGGGCTCATCCTAAATCTTCCAGTATTTTTTTTTTTTTTTTTTTGAGTCAGAGTATTAGTCTGTTGCCCAGGCTGGAGTGCAATGTCACGCTCATGGCTACCACAGCCTTGACCTGCTGGGCTCAGGCAACCCTTCCACCTCAGCCTTCCACGTAACTGGATCCAAAGGCGTTTGCCACCATGCCTGGCTAATTTTTAATTTATTATAGAGACGAGGTCATGCCAAGTTGCCCAGGCTGGTTTCGAACCTCTGAGCTCAGGTAATCCTCTTGCCTATGCCTCCCAAAGTGTTGGAATTACAGGCGTGAGTCACTGCCCCTGGCTAAATCTTTGAGAATTTAAAGAGGAAATTCAGGGTTACGGCATGGTGCTTATAGGTGGTTGTCATTCAGTGAGTGTTGTTGAGTGACTGCTGTATAAGGTTTTCTCCTTGTCTTTTTAGGCTGTTACAGGTAGAAAGGTTTGCAGTGTAACATTTTTTTTTTTGGGTGGGGGGTAAAATTGCAAGGGGAGAATAAGTCAGATTTTCCTACTTTCTATGTTGTCTTGTGTAGTGCTTTTATAGGACCAGTTATTAGAAATCCAGTTCTCAGAACAACCTGTTGAAAACTATAACTATTTGTATATATGTTTGGTTCTAAATTTTCAGTTGTTTAAAGTCTATGTCTTACTTATCTTTGGGTTCTATACAAAATCTTACATATATTAGGTACGGATACTTTTATTAAATGAGCCAGCTGTATATAAGCATTTAAATACAGTCATGTGTTGCTTAACAATGGGGATAGTATTCTGAGAAATGTGTTGTTGTGTGACTATTATGTAGTGTACTTAAACAAACCTAGATGGCATAGTCTACTACACACTTAGGCTGTAGGGTAGAGCCTGTGGCTCCTGGATTACAAAACTGTATAGCATGTCACTGTACTGAATACTGTAGGCAACTGTAACACTCTGGTATTTGTGTTTCCAAACATATCTAAACATAGAAAAGCTGCAGTAAAGACACAGTGTAGGCCGGGCTCGGTGGCTCAGCCTGTCATCCCAGCACTTTGGGTTGGCCTGAGCCTGTGGGTTCGAGTCCAGCCCGGGCAACTTGGTGAGACCTGGTCTCTACAATAAATAATTTTTAAAAAATTAGCCTGGTGTGGTAGTGGATGCCTGTAGTTCTGGCTACTTGGAAGGCTGAGGTGGAAGGATCATGGGAGCCCAGCAGGTCAACGCTGGGGTGGCTGTGAGTGTGCCACTGCATTCCAGCCTGGGCGACGGACGACTCAAAAAACAAAAAACACAGTGTAAAGATTAAAAAGGTGGATACCTGTAAAGGGCATTTACCATGAATGTAGTTTACAGGACTGGAAGTTGCTCTGGGTGAGTCAGTGAGTGAGTAGTGAGTAAGTGTCAATGCCTAGGACGTTATTTTATGCTACTGTAGACTTTACAAACATTGTCCACTTAGGCCACACTAAACTTCTGAAAACATATTTATCTTTCTTCAATAATAAATCAAACAATAATAGCTTATGGTGACTTTTTTACTGTATAAACTTCTTAAATTTTTAAACTTTTTGACTATTTTGTAACAACAACTTAAAACACAAACATATTGTACAGCTATACAATAATATTTTCTTTATGTTTGTATTACCTTTTTTCTATTTATAATTTTTTTTATTTTGTAAAAATTTTTTGTTAAAAATGAAGACACAAATACAGACGTCAGCCTAGGCCTACACAGGGTCAGGATCATCAATATCACTGTCTTCCTCCTTCACAAGATTTTCCACTGGAAAGTCTTCAGGGACGGCAACACCCATAGGGCTGTCATCTTCTGTGATAACAAGGTCTTCTAGAATACCTCCTGAAGGACCTGGCCAAGGCTGTTTCACAGTTAATTTTTTTTTTTATTAATAAGTAGGAGTACGTTCTAAAATAAGGATAAAAAATGTAGTCAATACATAAACCACTAGCACAGTTGTTTGTTATCATTACCAATTATTATATACTATACATAATTGTATGAGTTAGACTTTTATGTGACTAGCTGCACAGGAGATTTATTGACACCAGCATCACCACAGACACATGAAAATGCATTGTGTTTCAACATTAAAGTGACTATGACATCGCTAGATGATAGGACTTTTTCAGCTACATTTTAATTTTATGGGACCACCATTGTATGTGGGGTTTGCCGTTGACTGAAATGTTATTGAGAACATGACTATAATTAGATTCTATTTAAATGTTACTACTAGTAAAGACAAAGGTTAATTCTATTCTTTGTGCATCTTTAATTTTCTGGAAGTTTTTTTCCTGATGGGAAACTTATTTTTAAACTGATAAAGTAAATCTTTTCCTTCAGTTTGAGGAAGGAGAGTTTTATATTTTCCCCTTCATTATGCAGTCAAGAGATGTTTAATGAATGTGTAGAAAATAGAATAGTATAGACAAATAAAAACCACTAGCATTACCATTTCTTCAGACTAATCACTGTTAATAATTTAGGTATTTTCTTTGAGTCTTTAAGGGCTTAATCAACTTTTATACACACACATTGCATTTTTATAAAAATTGAATCATACTTTACAAAGGTTTACTTCTTATTTTTGTCCATTTGATATTATTATCTTTTTTCCATGCTGCTAAATATTCTTCAGTATTTCATGATGGTTCCATAAATCTGATCTGTTGCCCTGTGAGTTGTTATTTATTTATTTATATTTTTTTGCTATTCTGATGAACATCCGTGTATATGTGCAAATCCTTGGGTGTTTGTCTAATTATTTCTTTAAGATTAATTCCTATGAAAAAATTGTTGAATCTTAAAAATTTTCAGTTGCTGATATTCTCCTTTAAACAGTAATAGTAATTTATGTTCCCACAAGCAGTCCATTTCAACAAATCCTTGACAACTTTTTGTATTAAGACTTTTTAAAAAAGTCTTTGTTAATACCTTGTTTTAATTTGCTTTACTAGTGAAGCTGAACATTTTTCTTGGTATTTTTGGTCACGTAGTTCTTTTTTTAAGTTTCTTAGGCCGATTTTCTAGTGGGTGTATGTGTAGGTAAGTTATTTTTCTCATTGGTTTTAAAGAACTCTGGCTGTTAAGAATATTAACACATTATCTGCCATAATTCAGCTTTTTGTGTGTGTATGGTAAAGGAGGGAGAACTTTTAAGATTTTTCTTCTCATACAATTAAAAATATTTGGTTTAGCCCACAGGTTTGAGACCAGCCTGGGCAACTTGGCGAGACATCATCTCTACAATACATAAAAAATTAGCTGGGTGTCGTAGGGTATGCCTGTAGTTCCAGCTACTTGGAAGGCTGAGGTAGAAGGGTCGCTGGAGCCCAGCAGGTCGATGCTGGGGTGACTGTGAGTGTGCCATTACTCTCTAGCCTGGGCAACGGAGTGAGACCCCAACTCAAAAAAAAGAGTATTTCGTTTTATAAATTTACTCTTTTTTTGAGGCTATAGGACATTCACCACCATGCCTGGCTAATTTATTTTT